CAGGCATCAAGGCACTGCAGTGATTGTTTTTTATTTCAAACAATACATCTATTCTTTATAATTTCAGGGAATGCAGTATCGAACAATGTCATGTGAAAGACACACCTGAATTTCAAGAATACAGCATGTGAATAATCCATCAGTGTCACTTCTGTCAAATGATTTGATGTCAAATGACTTGATTTGTTGGTTTGAATTTGGGGCAGATCACAGTGTGAGTAAAAAGAGAACAGTTCCAGCAACAAACAAATAGAAGAGGAATTAAGGCTTAAAATCTTTAAGTTGAAAAAAAAGAAGTTTTAAAAAACACTTTGAAAATGTGATCCAGTTGAGTGTTTAAGGTGCATTCTACTAAGTGGCTGGAGAAGCACGAGAGGAGACCAAAACAGTGATCTAGAGGATGGCATTTATGATCTGATACTCCTCTGGGGTTCTAAGAAATTCAAAGTTTAGGAGGCCCAGCTGCACTGGGAAATATAACCCAATTTTTGCAGTTTTACACTGGAAGGTGGCAAGCAATCTTACCACAGAAAGGTGGTAGGAAAATGTCAGCCTGTAAGGAGACCACCACTCATCTCCCATCCCAGCTCCAAGGAAACAACAATCTTTTACATCCAGAAATTGAATTCAACTCTGCTGGTGACCTGAAAATGTTTTGTAATAGTTCTATTAATATTATTGCTAAAAGCCCTTTAAAATATTAAAGATTAGTCATTTTTAAGGACTTCAGAGTACCAACAAGAACAGCATCACCTCTCAGTAAGATTATTCTGCCCTTTTGGATTTCATTTCTACAGTATTTGGGCTACTAGTGCTGCAGTGGGATGGCAGGGTTTTTTTTGACTGAACTATGTTTAATGCCAACATCAAAATGTTTCTACAGCAATCAGGTTTTTTATTTTCTCCTAAAAGAACATAAATTTGGAGGGTAACGTGTTTGAAGACAAGAAACTAAACAATATAGAGGATAGTCTTCACCAGGGACTCAATGGCTGAAAGTAGACATGAAAGGACTATTCTGTGTCTTACAAATTAATGTAAGTTCATACTTACATTATGAACTTACACTAAGTACATACTTACATTAAATTATGAACTTAAATTCATAAGCACCAGAATACAAGGTTTAGCTTTTAAGAAATGGAATATGTCGTGCTGTCAGAAAACAGGAATCACCTGTAAACAACATGGGTTTTGCCACAATTGCCTTTTTCTGAATATCTTTGATAGTAAATGTCACTGTTCCAGAGAGCAAAAAATTACTTTTTGCAGAACAGCATTTTTATGAACTCAATTTTCTTACACTATTTTGTGTATGAACCCTGATCCAAATCAATGCATACATAAGCTCTTTCAGTGATTTCAAGAACATAAACAAGTGGCTGATGAACCAGTTGGTCATGTGATGCCAAAAAATTTGAGTAAATGGAAGACGAGAAATATCATGATTTATGAGTTGGAAATAATAGAGTTTCACTTATTATTTTCTCTTTCAATGTGCAATAACCCTGAAATCAGAAATATTGATTGCACTTTGCAAGTCAGACTGAAAGATGAGTTTCTTTCTAGGTTGTTGAGGGCTATTATGGGTCCAGTCTACAGGAGTAAAATCCCTAATGGACATCCTAGAAGGACATGACCTCTCTGATCAGGGCACTGTACCTGAGCAAGGTGAGCACAATGGGTCAGGTGATGGTGACAGATTCCACCAATAATCCAGTGACCATCAAAGTAATGTGAAATGGCAGGCGAAAGATCCTCAGTCCCAGGCAGCAACCAGGTCAACCTACCATTGCTATAAGCAGGGCTCTGAGACCACATCTCTAGAACAAGATGTTCCTCAATCCTATCCTACCATCTTAGTCCCACGCAACCAGCACCCTTCCCTGTGCAGATAGGAGAAAACAGCAGGATCTGTGGTGGTGAGTGGAGATTGTTTGAAGGCAATGCCTGGACCTGCTTCCAAGCTGAAGAATGGATGGCACTCATAGTCTGAATGTTCTTGCTGTAGGTCTAAAAGAAGCCTAAAGTACACCCACAAGACAAGTGTCAGTTGGTGCTGCCAATTCTTTATTATTCAGTCATAAAGCAATAGGAGGAGGTTTGAAACCTGATCCTGGAAGGTATCAGGAACCATTCACTGCCCTTAGCTCCCACTGGAAGCTAAAGGACCTTTACTACTTTCGAAGAAAATACTGCAGGAACTTCTGTCTTTCACAGCACAAAGAACCATAGAAAGGCAAAAATGCATTTTCTGTTGAAAACTGGGCAGGGGGAAAAGAAGCTTCTGCTCATAGCAAGTTTTTTTGTTGGACTTTGATTTTCTGAGTCTCTGAAGCACTGAAGAATGAATTAACCAGGATAATGCTGCTACAAGGGCACCCAGCTTCTCGCTTAGCAAGTTCTCTGCTGAACCGTGGGTATTTGATAGATGACTGGTGTAGAAGGTTGTGCGTCTGGGCTGAATATAAGTGTAACTGTCTACCAAGAGTCCATAAGTAAGCCCAGCTGGATACTGCAGGGTGGCTGAAGAATGTGAACTCTGCAGTAGCCCATTAGTGCCACAGACCAAGAGGAAAGGGTGGTAGAGAGAGCATTTTAAAAGGCCTCTATGTTTTTCCAGCTCCTGGGCCTGGCAATACCTGAATTCATTTTTGGTGCAAACTCAAATCTTCTTTAAATTTCTTTGACCTTTGTGAGGTTGCTCAAAAGTCACAGGATAACAATTCAAATAATTTCTTTTTTCTTTTTTTCCATCTGCCTTCTGTAGATGAATCTTTCTCACAAAACTTGGACCAGCCCCAAACTATGTGTGACTGGAGCCATAGGTACTGTTTGCTTTGGTTTCCTTGGCAAATATTACATAGATCCAGAGCCAACAAACAGACAAGAGCATTTTTTGTAAAAAAGCAGTGTAACAAAAATGAAAGTATTCTTTTGTACTGCCTAGAATGGAAAAAAGGAAGATGAGTTGGAGGTAAATAGAAAAGAGTGAACAGAGCCAAAACAGTTGTTTTCCAGTCCTTGCATGCAGTCCACAGGTAGAGATGCAAACTACTATGTGACCCAGCTCTTTAGTCCCAGCTACTACTTATACCAGATTACACTGTTTACAAACACAAGACAAACTTAGAAACTATGTGGGAAATGAGGTTGCTGCTTACACCCAGAAGAAGTCACAAGCTTCTCACTGATAACTCAAGAGCAGAAATAGAAGCAAAATTTCCTATGAATTTGTCATTCGGCTCCAGTTAGCAATATGACAGCATGTTAGTAATGGCTGCTTTGCTCATTCCTGCCAAGGGAATTCCACAATCTGTTCTACACGGGCCTCAGATTCCTCCAGGTTAATCTAATGCATGATCTCCAGCCTGAAAAGCTTAAATACTCACAGCTCTTCTCCCCAAGAAACAAACATATAATCAAATCTCATGCTTCAGGGAATAAACTGATGCTGCAGGCTCTGCAAGGAATACTTCCCTTATTTTATGGCTTTGCACAAATCATGGGGTTTGCCTTTCCTCTGAAGCATGAGGCATTAGCTACTGCTGGATGCAGAATACCAGGCTTAATAAAGCAATGTTCAGAGCTAGCAGAGGCTGTGTTTTTCTGTTTTTGTCAGCAGCACTCTGTTTTTCCCTCTAAATTCTGAGGCAAGGAAGAACTACTAATTGGCAGCCCTGTTTGCAATGGTATGTCTGAAAGCAGTTGCACCAAAAATGGCATTACCTGTAAAGGAAACTTGGCTAATTATCTGGGGATCATACCTATGCTTGGAATCTCCTTCAGGATCAGAGGGTCTGCTGCATGTAAATAGAAACACAGGTTTTATGAATGTTTCTCAAATGAGCAGATCTCAGAGGATTTGCTACAGCTCTCCAGTTATTATTTTATGGGCCAGTGAGGAGGCTGTCCTTATAGCACAGAAAGGAATGCAGTTGCTGTTTGGTTTGCAGACATCTGACACAGTCCCACATGTGAATGAAAAAGCCTTTTCCATGGGAATAGGAATGCAGTTGCAAAAACACCTGTGGCACAGGTGGGCTTCTCTCACTGAGGCAGCCCACTCTCTTTGTCTCAAAACTGATGCTCAAAAGATAGCAATTCCAACTCATTTCCACAAAATTATGTTTCATTCCACCATTACCCCTTCCCTATAAATTCTACAGAGCGTCAGGACAAAATGTGGAGCCCAGGAAAGACACTGCAGTTCAATTATTTCAAGCAAGGGAAAAGCCTTGAGTATTTTACAGGACTGAGTGGTCCTGCATATTGCGTTAGTCATAAACAAGCACAATGCAAACTCAGAGCTGAGTTCTCAGCTTCTAAATATACTGAAACTGCCAAGGCAACAGATGAGATTTTCCCATCAATAGCCATTGAGCAGGCAATTACTCTGTGATCAGTTTTACACCAAGAAGAAGTAACATGGCCTTGTCACAGGTAAGGTTTGCGACTAGAAATAAACAGCCTCCATTTTATGCCAATCTTCTTAAAGAAGCAAGGCCATTTATGCTGACAGCAACAACAAAAGAGCAGATAAACAATTTGACCTGGAGGTTCATTTAATAGTTGAGTAAATGTATGTTGTTGGTTGTTTTTTTTGTTTTTTTTTTTTTTTGTTTTGTTTTTTTTCTAGAAAGACAGGTTTGTTAAAAGAAGACGGCAGCTGAGCAAATTCAAAGTATCCCTTCAGCTGCCTTTACATTGTTTCTCCTTCTAAATTTTAAATGTTTGGTGCAGTTAGTTAATCTTCTAGTTGCCTTTTGGTTGGCATCTTTGGAGGTGGAGCTAGGAACACCTCCTGGAAACTACTGTGAGCCTCTCAGGAGATTATCTACTGATCTTTACTCCCTCTAGGTGATTACTGGACAACCTCCAAAACTGTGATATTTCAAAGGAGAGATATGACACCATAGTACATCTCTGCAACAGCCAGAACAGACACCAGGGACCTTAGCTCAGAGAGTTCTTAATCAGGAAATGATTACCTTGTATTTTCTTTGTCTAGTTCTTTCATTCATCTGAAGCATCTCATCCCACACTTGACACTGGAAGTTGTACAGGACAGGTGAGGTCCCCATTGTAGATGTGAGTGGTGCCAGTCACAACTCTGACCCCTGGGTATAAGTCTGCAGTACACAGATGAGAGATCATGAAAACAGCAAAGAGAAACAATGGAGTACATTGTCAGAAGACCAGCTGAAATCAAAATGTACTGGTCAATCCAAAGTGCCTCAAAATGTATAAGGATAAAAAAGTATGCTATTTAATCTCCTAGTTAATAGCTAGGTGAAATTAAGACAGCAGCTCACAGAGTATGAAATGCAAATACAATAGTAGGAACAAGGATGTGAAAAACAAAACCAAATGATTTATGACTCTGATTCCCAAGTGATAAGAATGAACATAATAAAAGTAGAATAGTAAAACTAGTTAGACAGGAGAACAAATCACCTTGATACCAATTTATAAAATAAATAACTTTTCAATAAAAGTTGGAACTGGAAAAAAAAAGTGCATTTTCACACATAGCTCAGAGATCACATAAATGCCAAGTGACATGACAGTTGCTGAAATAAATGCTCTTTTTATGAGCAGCAGAGTAGTAAAGCAAGCAAAATAGATGCATAAAATGGGTAAATTTCCAGTGTATTAGTTATTGCTGCCTCTGAGCTGCAGTAAATAACAAATTCATTTTTACCTTTTTTTGTGTTCATGAATACATTTTTAGGACTGTTTTTCCACCCCCTTCTTTCATGACTCCATTTTTTAGAGATTTATGTTCTTCTTTAAAGTTTATAAATAAGAAGTATCCAGGTCTTTTCTATATGAGGCAAGAGGGCTGAAAACTCAGAAGAAACTATTTATTATGGATTTCTGAACTTTCTTTGCATAAATTGTGTTGTCTGTGAACACACCGCTTCCATAAAACTTGTTTTTGTCTGGATGTCTTTCCCCTTATAAATGAAATCCAAAATAAGTTTTCCTCCAAAAATTGTGGACCTACCCACCCTGCATTTTTCTCCTTTATTTTTCTTTTTATAGTACAAAATCACAGTATGTTCTCTTTATTTACTGCTTACTATACCTATAAATAAAGGATTATCAAGACAGATTGGACTGGAGTCAAAAAGATTAAAGATTTTTTTGAAATACAAGTTGACCGTTCCCAGATGAAAATATGAAACTAGTCAGTGATTGTGAAAGTGAATAGACTTAGTGAGTGCCACAATGTTCATCTCTGACTCTGATTACATCCTCTACCACCTGCCCTGCCCACAAAACAGCAAACCCACACCCTGAAAGAAGAAGTAAAATTAAAGTTAAGGACTTTCATGTTCCGGTATGTCTTTGTTTTCATCACCTGTGTAGTCATTCATATTGGTGCAAAAGACTACCCTGCTTTGCATCCATGTGCTTCACTTTTTTGCACTGAGAGAAATGAGCGTGCAGAGAGCAGGGCAAACAGGAACCATAGCCAGAGTTTTTCCTTGCATTTATGAGTTCATATGTACAAATCAAGAGGGTTTAATTACTTACTGTGCTTGAAGATAAGATATTCCTTAAAATAGCAACACAGGAAGATAAAGATGATAGCTAATGTCTGAAATCACTTAGGTGTAACTAATAATCCCATGCTAATATCTACTTTTATTTTTAAATCAAGGTGAGGGACCTGACTCCTACGACCCTCCATTAATGCAGAAGAGCAGACATCCATTTAACCATCCACCTGTACCTGTTTTCCAGAGCCAATTCCTGGTACAGATTCTTTCAATTCTCATGAGTTCTGTGGCTTCACATATATCAAGACATATTACCCAAACTGGATAAATATATTTTTTTAAATTTAATTTCTCAATCACACCATTCAAGGTTTATCCAGAACAGATTAACGCACTATAACTCAAGCCCCATTTAATCTAGCTGCCTGATTAATGTGTAGTTCTGGGACTTTTGCATGAAATTCAAAACAGGCATTCCAAATGATACAGCAAGAGAAAATAAGCCCAGCAAAGAGAGAAAAAAAATAAAACAAACCTGCTAACTTTCACTAAATATCTTATTCATATTGGCACAAAATTAATCAAGTAAAATAAGAAATGTATCAAACCTTAAGGACTAGTTTTTCTCCATTCCCAAGCACCCCCCAGTCTTCACCTTTACTGATCATTAAAGCTGCTAAATGTACTGACAGCCCTCTCTCTACCCATGGAGCTGCTAGAGACAAGAAGGACAATAGCAAAGTATAACCACATTTTTAATCAAGGAGTCACTAGAACACTTTGATAGGTTCTGCAGTGAACACATGTGTCCAAGGACATCCCAGTCCTGATGGTCAGTTAAGGACATCTGTTTATTTTCTTTTTCTTTTCCCAGGCTGTAGAGTAGAAACATAGCTGAGATTTGACATTAGAGTCACAGTTGGTATCAGTTTTCAGTCACTCTTGATTCAGGCTGACATACATATCTATACTCTATTAAGCACAAACACTGTGCTCTGTTACTCACACCATTTTAGTGCCTATCAGCTTGAGGTTTTTGTTACTTGCTTGTTCCTTCAATCTTCATTCTAATTTGTTATGAATTACTAATCTTATAACTGCAAATAAGAAGGCCCATCCAGGAAATTAGGGGCTTTGGTTGGTTGTCATTTGAACTGGGCTTTCAGACTTTACAGGTGTGTTTCTGTCCTTCTAAATAGGAAATAAACAGCATCTCTAACTGAAATTAATGCCAATGAGACAAAAACTATTTTTTTCTTTGTTGTATGACTCAAAAAAAGTTATGTTTTATTTCATCCTGATAGCTGGTTATCAATCATGCATGAGTCATGAAATCTTTTCATCAATATGAGTGTCAATCACCCAATAAGCTAGATGCAGGAAGCTACAGATCCAACAAAGCTGATTCCCAGAAGTATTGAATTCATCAAAGGCATCAAGCACCATTACAAGATTTTTTTTAAAACCTTTTTGGTTTTTTTCCTTTTCTTTCCCCCTAGACCAGATGATTGTTGCCTCCTATACTGTGTAAATAAAATTTATGAAAAATCACAACTTTCTTCAACCTCCTTGCTTTTAATGATTTTTTTTGTATGTTTCAGAGAGTTTGATGGTCTTTGAATTAGCTGTCTTTAGTCACATCATGCAGTTAATTCCTCCTCTCACAAATCCTGAAGCTGTATAGCAAAGCAGCTACTTGATGGGTAGCTTTTTAAAATTCATGATCTGGAATATACTAACAATGTCTCTCAGGTCATCATTATCAAGATTTACAAGCATCATAAGGTCTTAGAGGTGATTTCACTAGCAAAAAATACAGTTATGTTAGGGTATGTTTTTATGTAAGATGACATCTCCACTCACACTGAAATTCCTGGGCATTAGACAATGTAAATTACTAACATATGTGTGAAATTCACAGGCTCTGTCTCTGTTATGTATTTCACCATATTTAAAAGAATTAAATGTCTTAGATATTTCATCTACAGTGAAAGAAAAAGAAAGAAAGAAGAAACTTTCCAAGTAACAGAGTCTACTTCAAGGATGCATGATGAAACTCCAGATTATGTAAGATTTATGGATCTATCATTTCAGCAAGATATTCAAAATATAGTTCCTTTAAAAGTTTCAAGCTTTATTAATTCAGTATTGAGTGATAATAGATGAACAGAATGTAAGAGCTATTTATGGCAATTGCAAAAGATCACTTGTGAATAGTATATATTATTCAGCAATTGGACATTCTTTAGGAGAGAAGGCATCTTCAGGCATAATTCTATCTTGTATTGTGAAGCCTTCTAAACCCAAAATTTGAAATTGAATAAAAATGGCAAGATAGATCAATTTCACTACTTCTAAAATAATCTTTTCAAAACCATGTTCTATTTGGTGTGGTGCTGTCTATTAAAAAAAAAAAAAAAAAAAAAAGGAAAAGGAGTAAGTGAGAAAAGAATGTGGGTGAAGTGAAGAAAAATAATTTTGTTCAATTTCTAGAATCTGATTCAATGAAAATAGCAAATTAGATCATCCCATCTCAGCGTGGCTCCTTATTAGGTGGAACTGCAGTGTCCCTGTGAACACTATAAAGAGAAGAAGAGAAAGACTATCTATAAGTAACAGTAAAGAAAGACTGTGATAGTCATTCAACAGCAAAATACCTGATTCCTACGCATTGCACATAATTGGAAGTCACTCCCTTTTAATTTTGTTCTATTAGAGACTAGAGACCTGTGGCTATCTCAGATTAGCTCTTGTTTTATACTTTTAAGATCATATTCTTCTGTGACCTCCAAAAGTAAAATAGAAAAGTATACTTCAGAATTGTTTTGGAACCTGAGCCCAGATATAACCAGAACTTTGTTAACACTGATTTGTTGCAGTGTATTTTATGCTGGGATGAAGGTTGGTCAGGCAGTGTGTGAAGGAATGGAAATAATTTTGTATCTTCCTTATTCCTTTTGTACACATGCAAGTGTCAATCACAAAAGCTGATGTAAAGGATGACCAACTAAAGAAAAATAAATAAGCTTTACTCAGCTTTACTGAGCCTTTAATTTTTTTTTTTAACTTTTATAAAGTTAGTATGAACTTCAGAAGTAATTTACCCTTGTTTCAATTTAGAAATTCAGATCTGGAATTTTAAAAGCTAGACAACTGGGAAAATGAGATCATAAGAAATGAGAGAAAGAGAGATTAGACCTTCCTTAGCCAAATGGTTACATTTCTTTTTTTGCCTCAACTTTGTCAGCAACTACTGATCTTCAATGACGGCTTTCTGAAAACATATTAAAGACTTAATGCCATCTGCTAGGAGACACTGGCAACGTTCTTTATGGCCTTCCACAGACATGACAATAAAGGCTCATAATGCAATAATTGATAGCCTTTATTTGAAAAAAAAAAAAAATATGTGGCATTTTCCTCTTCTACTGCTTTATTTGTTAAAGAAATCTAAAACCTGAAAGCAAATATTATACAAATCATAAGTAAATGAGATAAAATAAGAAAATAGAAGAAAAAAAAAAAAAGTCTGAAAATGAGTCATGTTTTCATGTCTAAGATAATGAGAAATCTAAACCAGAATGATTTTGGCAGCATCAGCTCTGATAAGAGTTTTGTGTAAC